TTATTTCTGATTTCATTTTTCCCAGATCCTCTTTTGTTGCCAGTTCAGAGAGTCCAGGTGGTTGAGTATCAGAATTTTCCATCTTGTTTCCCTTTGGGGTTGCTGTAGGTTATCCAGAAGTCTGTTTTTGAGGCTTGTGTATGTGTCTTCTCATTTCCACAGGGGGGAGGGATGCTTCTGGCACCCGCGTGGCTCAGCTTCTCTGCCCTAGGTGCTTGGGATGGTGGTTGGGGAGCTTCCTTCCGGGTTCTGGGACCGGCTTACCTTTTCTGCCCTAGGAGCTTGGAATGGCAGCGGGGGAGCTTCCTTCCAGGTGCTGGGACCGGCTCAGCTTCTCTGCCCTAGGGAGCTTGCTATTTCTTACTCACAAATAGCCACCTGCATGTTTTTTCCTTATATCTCTCACCCACACCCTAAAATCCATACAAGTCAAGGAACGTATGGTTGTTCCTCAGCCTCAGCTCAGTTGAGTAGAGAGGACTCAGTTCTTAACAGCTTAATTGTATATCTCTTTACTGCAAAATATTTCATGTTCAGAACTTATTTCATCAGCATTGTTATATACAGTGCCCACTTTTGAGAGCAGGACTTTAGACTTCCGAGCAAAACCAACATATAGAAGTGGATTCTTTGTCTTTAGATGTGCTTGTGAAAGATTTTCTTTCTTGCTTGTAATACAGTATTAGTTCAGAGGGATGTTGTTTCACTTTTTTTCTAAGTATCATTTTGTTGTCAGAGAAACTTTTCTGTCTTCCTCCTTTCATTTTTTTTTATCAGAGAAAGTTCTTTTCCCTCTTCCTCCTACCACTTCATTTGCCTCCACTCATTTTCTCTCCTACTTCATTTTTTCTCCTGGTCTTTATATATCCCTTTATTTGCTTTTACCTCTTGTTTTAATTTCAAAATCAAAGAAAAAGATTGAAAAGCATATTGGCAGGACTGAGGCCTGGATGGTGAGTCCAGAATCCATTCAGAGTCTTGTGATATCAACAACATTGGAAGACAAGCCCTTACTCTACCCAGGCTAAAGGTAAACTTTTAAGTAGGTTTGTAAAAAGAATAAGTTTCACAAGCATAGGATTAGGGACAGCTAATGTAACAATAGTTAATAATGATAATTTTTAAAAACTCTCAGATATAAGTATGAAATCATTTCCATATGAGCAAGTTATATAGTTCTGATGATTAAACTTCACTTGATCTTTGTCTTCAGTCAAGAAACCAGATAATGAAGCAACGTACTTGATCACACTTTAGGTGTTATGTTTATTTCTGAGATCACACTATTTGACTCTGATATATTTCTGAGGGACCAATTCTTTAATCCAATGGGTTAAGGATGGATACCTATGACCATCAAGTTAAGTTTCTTCCTAGTAAGAAAGATGATTTTGGTAACATGGGATAGTAGAGGATAGTCTAAATGTATTAATACTGGGGACAAGGAAATTAAAGCAGCAAAGGGTGCTGGAAAGGAGATAGAAGGAATTTTCAGAGGTAGAATTGCACTGGGCTGAGAGAAAAGTGTTGGATTACTGCAAGGAAACACTTAATTCAATAGTTCTAAAACTAATAAGAAAATAATTACCAGAAGTTTATGAAACATCAACCATTGGAGTAATGTCTAAAGTTTACTCGCTTACAAGCAGATTATCTTTTGTTTCCTTCAAAAGCATATCTGAAGGGTCTTGTTACTGAAGGGTCTTGTTACTGTTTTCTTTTTCTTTTTTTTTGGTACTGGAGATCGAACTCGGGTCCTTGAGATTACACAGTAGGTGGCGAAGCCACTGAGCTAAATCCCTGGCCCTTGTTACTATTTTCTTACTGTTGACCTTCCAGACATATGAACTATCTCTTCTTCCATTGATTGCTATATAAAGTTAATCAATATTTTAAGTAAAATAAGGAAGAATATTGATAAAGAATAAAACTATCTCTGTCTGTAGAAAAAATATCTCCCTTCCTGGGATATTTAGATGGGTTAAACCAAAGGATTAGGGAGAACATAAGCTAGAATGAAAAGGAAAAGGACAGCCCTTAGTAGAAATAGATGAGGCTGTGATATCAGATTTGGCACATGGAAATTCTTGAAATTACTTTGTTACCCACATTTCTCCTTTCCCTTGCCATCCCCTCAGTCTCTGATAGCCATGGTTTTATGTACTTCTATGAGTTCTAATTTTTAGAATCCACATACAAGTAACTCATATATTTGTATGATTTGGTGTCATAGAATCCATCACTCCCCTAATCACATCACTACAGGCCTTTGGCTCTTTTTCCACTCTATGTGACTGACTCAAATCTCTCTAAAATCTACTGGTGAGGCAATTCCCAATTTCTGTTTCTCTGTTCCCCACTTCAGGGACTCTGAGCGATCCATTGTACTGACCAGGTGAACCCTATCCCTGCTAATCTTATCACTCTGACCTCTAAGTTTTGATTTGTACCTGGACCCAGTGTCTCCTCATCTTGATGATCTCATTTCTCCTGACTCCATTTCATCCACACCACTGTTTCTCAGTGGGCCCCAATCCACTGACCCTGTATTTCCTTCTAAATCTGACCTTGGCTTGACAGCAGCATTACTTGCTGTACAACTATCTCAGAAATCACCATTCCTACTTGTCTTCTATAACAACTGCTTTTTTCTATTTTTGCATGTATGATTTCTTGAGAATAGCTACTGAATTTCATTTAATAACCACACTTCTTACATACATGAGGAATTTGTCGAAGACCTTTTTAATTTTTAAAAATAAAACAAAATTTCATTGCAAAACAGAGAATAACAATAGAATTTAAAAAGTTCTTACTTTTGATTTTCATTTTGACTTGAAAATCAAAAATAATATGATATGTGATAATTCTTTTTTTTGGCACTGGGGATTGAACTCGAGACCTTGCACTTGCGAGGTAGGCAGTGGAACCACTGAACTAAATCCCTGGCCCAATATATGATAATTCTTAGTTAAAAGATTTTAAGAATTCATTGAAAATATTTAAAAGGTATTCAGAAAATATTAATTCAGCATTTAGATTTCTTCAAAGGTTCATTGATGTGAAAGATAGGAATCATGCTATGAACAGATTTTGTTTCCATCACCATTTCAGTTATATCATATTAGGATATCTTTTCAAAACTCTCACCAGACTATTTTTCCAAAAACAGAAAAAATACTGTACAAGAACATTATTTGTAATTTTTCTGTCTCAAGGTTTCTGGATGTAGTAGTCATTTGACTTGAAACTGAGACTATGCTTAAAGCCTTTTGAGGGGACAAAGGGGACAGAGTCAGCATTCCTGTATCCCATTTCTGAAGATTCAAGGTTTTTGGCAGTCATTTCCTGGGATGTCTGTTTTCAGTGCTTATAGAGAGGTAGATATTGTACCTGTAAATGGAATCCAATGGCTGTCTTTATATTCAACATGTAGAAATTTTCTTCTTTCCAACATATTTCCTTTAGATTAACAGCTTTGAGAACTGAGTATTAGGGGTAGATTGGCAGAAAAATGATTTCCTTCCCTTCTCAAGTCCTTTGTTGGCTTCAGAGATTGCATCACTTTTATTCTGATCATGACTTTAAGGTCCAAATGATTAAAGAGTCACAAATGTGTCTAACTTGGAGATAAGCATTTAATTACATTTTATATGTAAAAGGACAATTTTTTATTAAAATACAATCCAATTAATTTTCAGTATTATGAGGTTTTAAAAAACTATGTACAGTATATTTGATTTTTCTTTAAAGAAAGTTTTTGTACTTATTAATGGCATAAAGAAGTTTCGCTTTGTCCACAGACTTGATTGAAATTGTCTTTTTTCTCTGGTCTTCATAAATTTTATTCCAGGAACTAATCCTTTTCAGACTTGTATATAGCACGAGGCTTTGACTTCCTAAGCTTTGTGAATCTTTGTGTGTGTGTGTGTGTGTGTGTGTGTGTGTGTGTGTGTAGCATGAACAGGGAAATACCTAGATACCAGGGAAGAAAACAATGATGGTTAAATGAAAAAAAAAGTTAATTTTTTCTACTTCTGATATTTGTTTAATAATATTTGCTAAATTGATAAAGTCTTTATCTTGGTAAATTTTATAACTTATTCTTTCCTAAAACACGAAGTACTTAAATATTGCTATGCTTAGAAATCATAAAACTCCACAAATGTTTTTATAATTGAGGGTTGATAACTTTTCATCACAACTTGAAATAGTGAAAGACATTCACTTAAAAACCTTAGAGTCAATTTTTAGCTTCCATCCAAAATCTATATATTTGTTTAAATATCCATATAGTTACTCTATAAAAATTTTGTGGCAATCTGGAATGAGTTTAAATTTCCTGTTAAGGTTGCTCCCTCTGAGATATCATGCATTTTAGGAAATACGTAGGACAATACTTTTTAGTATGAAATTAGTGATTTAATTTTATCACAGGTACACATATTTTAGTAATTTGATTTTCCAGAAGGAGCTGACAAAGAGAGAAAAGACTTTCTTTTATAGGACATCTTCAACTACTCAAAGTTTAATTGATTCACTTTCATGTATTTCATTTAAAAAGTGGGAAGTTGAAGATTCTAGTTATAAGAAGAATGTGTTGTAGTATGGAATATAGACTGTGATATTTTTGTTCATGTATAGAAGGTGTATTTTGTGTCAAGTATTATTTTGTGGTAACTGAGTTATTTTTTCAAGTCATTAAGCACATCTTGCTTTGTGATTTGGGTCCATGAATCAGGGATTTCACCTTTATTTTTAAATTTTTTCTGGTATTTTTCTTCTAACTTTGATTTGAAGGAACAGACAAACCATTTCCAATATGTCTGGGAGGATGAATCCGGAGTGATACTCCAAGTGGCATAATCTCCTCCTGCCTGGCGATAGGTCTTGTATCGGAATTTCAGGGTGTCATTCAGAACAAACTGTGTATCACTTGCCACTGCAGTAGAACAGAAATCAATGTCAAACTCATCTGTTTTATGCCAATGGTATCCATTGACAGCCTGAGGACGGTGGAATGGAACACTGTGGTCTCCTTCATGTGCAGGAATTGTGTTGGTACAAATTGATTTACAGAAGGGACATTGTTTCCAGCAGCCACAGAGTTGTTGAGAGAGGATTTTCTCAATTACAAGGAACATTTCATCTTTAGGCATACTTAAAAACTTTTCTTCTGCTCTCATCATTGCAGCATCCAACTCTACACTCATGGCTTCTTTGAGAAACTCAATATCTTTTATCTCCTGGTGTTCAATGCTTCTCAAGTCTGTTCGTGGAAAGATCAAGTTGTTCCCCAGGTGATCACAGAACAAATCCAACCACTCAGATGCAGTGCTGCTTTTATCTTTAGCTTCTTCTGTGGATTCATGAATAGCACAGAGGATAGCTTTCTTGATGATGTCTAAATTTATTTTTGAAAAAGTCTTTATTTTTTCACCTCCTTTTTCCAAACAATATCTTTTAATATGTTTTTCAATATAAGTCTTAAAAAAGGATTCTGGGTTATGAATGTATTCCCAATAATTATCAAAGTTTTCTTCTTCTGCCAGAGAGATGAGAATATATTTTTCCAGTTTAGCCCTATTTCCATTGAACTCAGGGCAGGTAGCCTGCATGTCCTCAGCAATTCTAATGGCCATGATTTTCCATATGGTGGTAGACACAGCAGGAATGAGCTTGTTGCACAGAAAATCTACAAATGACTTGATAGAGGTTGCTCCTTGGCAGGAGATCTTGAAACTCATGAAGAAGTCATCTTTTTTACTTTGCAGAGAGATTACAGGATCATTTGCAGTCTTGAATGCTTTATGCATTTCATTAAAAATTTTTGATGCTCTTCGGAATAAACACAAAGCTAATTCCATTTTGTATTTACTTGTAAATGAGAACCTTTCCTTCGTGGGTACAGATATCACTTCTTCTTCTATGATTCTCAGAATTTCATGAAAATCATTTACATTGTAATCACGATGTTGCTTCCAAATATTAGCAACAGTTTCATCAAATCTTGAAAGAATGCAGTTAGTAGTCATATGAATTAACTCTTCATCACCTGCTTCTAATTGTTTTCGGTAAATTACATATGTCTTACTCATTTTGACATGTTCATCATACTTGACTTGAAATTTTTTTCCAGAATTTGTCTTTAGTAAGTTCACCATGTTTTTCTCCTTTATGAAATGCTCCAAAAGGATGTTTTCAGAATCCACCTCAATGTTAGGTTCCATTGTGGGAGGAAGATTTGAGGACACATCATAGACCCATTCATTCCACAGTTGATTGAATTTCTCCTGCAACTCCTCCTCACTCAGTGCTTTACCTTTTACATCTAAGGCCAACTCTCGGCTCCTCTTCAATAATTCATTTTCATAGCCCATCTTTTTCTTATCCAATGTTTCTTGACTTTCTTTAAGAGTAATACATTTATTGGCTTCTCTTTTGGCATCTGAAATAAGTGTCTCTTTTAGGATTAGTAACTTATTTTCAAAATTTCCTTTCCACTGAATCAGTATTTCACTCTCTGGGTCTTCATTAAAATACTTCTCAAGATCTTCCTTAATGGTTTCATATGTTTTTATAATTGGATCGTCCAGTGAGCTTATTTTGAGTGTCTGAATTTTCCCATTCTGAATCTGATTGTTCAGCTGATTCTGCAAGTGCAGCATGTGACTCCTCAGCTTCCAGGACCACTGGTTATACTTGGTTTCCAGTTTGCTCATGGCCACGACCTCTCGGGTATTTCTGAAACTGAAAATAAAATTTTCACTGACAAGGGCTCTCCACAAATCTTTAACTTGCAATTTCACATCTGATATCTTCATGATATTTCCCCTAAATTCCTGTTTAGCCATTGAAAGAATTCTACTTTTTAGTTCTTGGACATTGTGACTATATTGAGGATTAGGAGGGGCCATTGGGGGATTGCCATCCCAGAGGTGAGCAAAGTAGTGGACATGAGTGTTGACATCAAACTTAATGACATCACTGAAGCGGGATACATCTGAACACTGTTCTTGCTCAGCAGCAGTTGCTGCCATTTCATCTAGTTTCTGCTCTAGTCGCCTTCGTCCTTCCATGGTTTGCTCTTTAGCTGTAACTTCCCCCACATTCTGATGGACAAAGAGGCAACTTGGGGAGATTTTCACCTGTTTCATCCTCAGAAAGGCTTGGACAGCTATTTGTAGGATATCCTGCATCTCTGATGGATTCTCTCCAAAAATATTGATGAGAGTCAAGTTTCCAAGTCCAATGACAAAGGTTGCCAACTCATTGTCTCTATTCTGGGATTTGTTGTTGAGTTCTGGGGCCCTGAGTCCTTCTGTGTCTACAACCAACAGAAAATCAAATCCAAGTTCCTCTGTGAAGGTCTCCTCCACCTTCAGAAGCTGCATGTATGCCCCCCTGGTACACCTGCCTGCACTGACACTGAACTGCAGCCCAAAAAGAGCATTCAGCAGGGTGGACTTCCCTGAACTCTGCAGGCCAAGGATAGAAAGAACAAACAGTTTCTTGCCTGGAAGTTTCTCAGAGACCTTGTCAAATACAGCCACCACCCATTTTAGAGGCACATAAGATGCATCCCCATCCATCAGCTCAATGGGGACACCAGATACCATGAGGTCTGCAGCAATTTGGGGAAGAGAGAGAAAAACGATATCTCTTTTGCAGGAAGTTTCTTCCAGAGCTTCATACATCTGCCCAACTTCTCTGAGAAGCTGCTCAATTCCCAAGGTACAGGCACTGATCTCCATGGAGATGGCTTCCAGTTTCTTTTGCCAATGATCCAGGGAGTTGCTTTTCTGTGCCTTTTGCTTTTCTGTTTGTATCATTGACCAGAAAGATCTTTGCTTCTCACGCAAATTTTCCAAGTGTTCTGAAGTGAATCCATCCATGAAAACACTCAGCCACTGTAAAAAGTAGAGTTTGACCTGAGTTTTTGAGCGTTGCAAAATTTGTAGGAAGGACTGCATTAAGTCATTGGGAGGAAAAGCTTTTTTCAACTGTTTATGCCTTATTATTTGTTTTTCTGTTTCAATATCACTCTTGTGTTGTTCAATGCTCCTGTTCCCCTTCTCTCTTAGATGATAGAGTTCTTTGTCCATTTTACACCACCAATGCCACAGTTGTCCCTGAAGGGGTAGTAAATTTTCCTTTATGTGAGATAAGTTCATTTCTCCCAGGAGGGCCATTATAATCTGTGCCTTTTCTTTGGCTTCCTTACAGTCTCTCTGGTCTTCATCAATAAGGAATCCTTGCTTGCGAGCAATCTGAGAACAGCCTTCTATACTGAGAGCAGTGTCAGAGAGCTCTAGCAACCGTCTGATTGTAGTAGTGATCTCTTTTATTAAATCTGCCTCATTTCTATTCCTGATACCAATTCTTACTTTTCTGCCAGAATTACTGACCACATCTTTTTCTTTGTCATCAAGCAAGCAGATCAAAAATCGTGATGACTGCCACAGGTCACGAACAAATTTTCGGTTTTCTTCATTGTCATCGGAGGCTGACATGAGGACCAAAATGAGAGAAGAGACCTCCTGCAGGAAAGCAATCTGCTGCTTGTGTTCCTTTGCATCACCATGAAGATTGGTGAAGGTCACACAGTTGTCAAATCTGTCCTCATCTTCTTCCCCAGGCCAGAACCAGCAGATTTCCACCACACCACCCATCAAGAGACAGTTTTTGCTGCTTACCTTGCAGTGTCGGTGAAAAAACACATCATGTTTCCGTTTACTGAGAAGATAGTTCATGATCTGAGATTTGGAAGCAGAGAGACCATTCCCAACTCTAATGAAGGACACAATGGACGTGGAGACATGACACATCTGCTGGTTATTGAAACTGTACTTGTTTCCCTTCAGTGATTTACTTCTATTCTGCCAACTCCTCCTAATTTGTTTGAGACACCACAGAGAGAATTCAATTTGCACAGTACAAGGATTAGGTACCATAAGGGGGAGGGCAAATTGACAAATAGAAAGTTTGTTCAAAATATATTGTCTGGTAAAATCATCTGCACAGTGAAAAATTGCCATCTGGAGATCCATTGGGTGAATAGGTGGCCTGGCTTTAGTGGGAACAGGACTACAACCATCATCAAAAAGGTCCTCATATGGATCAGAAGTCTCATTTTCCTGGTCAGAGGCCCTTGGATAAACCTGATGTTCTATGTTTTCTTCTCCTCTGAAGACCAGATATCTCAACCCATAATCTAGCATCAGTAACTTCTGGAGAAAATAGAAAGGAAGCTCCCGTTCAGAGCTGGGCTGGGTTTTGTAGACAGAAGTCTTGTAGATCAGATGAAAGTCAGCTCTCCCCATCCTTTTTGGGAAGTAATGTTCTAGGCCTAGACGCTGGAGTAAATCTTGGAAGGCTCCATTTTCTATCACTTCCTTTTTAATATTGTCTTTATCATGTGGTTTGTATGTCTGTTTATTTTCCCCAAGGAGACTTTGCAATTGTTCTTTGATTTTGTCAACTTGCAAGGGTGATGTGATGTCTTCATAATCCCTATCAATGAGCAATCTCAAGTCTTCTTCCAGGTTTTCCCAATCATGACCTGTTCCAGGTTCACTGAAGACATTTGCAACTTCCTTGGACAAGGATTGTCCCATATATTGTCTGATCAACCCCATGTGCTGTGTTTTTTCTTCTGGAGAAATAGCTGTGACTCCAACAGAGGCTGTCAGACATACAAGCACCAGGAATGCCTGGGCCCTGTGGATGCAATTCCTTTTGAGCTGCTGGTATTTATTGTGGGCAGTTTGCATTTCATCCAGTAGAAAGTTTAACTCATCACAACCCAGAAGATACTGAAAAGTATTGTTAACCGAGTGATATCCTGCACCAGCTGCAATGGAAAGTAACAAGAGCTGTGTGTCTGTCTGCTCTGCCCCTTTAAGGTAATTCAAAAAGGAAGTAAGAGCCAAGCCAACTTTATAAGTGACTTTTCTTTGAGCCTCTTTCACTGTTTCTGGGGACTCAGATTTGACCTTCACTTCCAAGAGGTCATTCTGAGTTCCTTTTAAGATTTTAATCAGTTCAGAAAATTGGGAGATACAGACTTCCTGTTGCTTTGACTCTGACTGGTAGATCCACTGTATCATGGAGTGAGCCTGAGGAAAGTTTGTCACTTTGTACACATGAGGATCCAGAAGTGTGCGCAGCTGAGATTTAATAAATTTAGTTTCATAAAAGGAAGACTTTTTACAAAAGTTGACTGTATTTAGTAGAAAATTCTGCAGATCTGAATTTGTGAGGCATATATCAATCCAAATGTGATAACTTGCTGTTTTTTTACACAACATTTGCATAAGATTCATCAGTTTGTTAAGCTGTTCTTCAGGATCAGATACTTCCCAGGAGTCTACTTCCTCTAAGAAAATTCTAGCTTCTTTCTCAGCACTCAGGAATTCCTCTCCATATGGGATCTGGGCAGTGAAGCCAGTCAGAGCAGTGTAGTTGTCTTTCATGAATTTGGCCACCTTTAGAGCATCCTTAAAATCCCTTCTGTGGCTGACAAGAATGATGTCCCAAACTGGCACCAGCTTCAGGCCCCGGTCTATGACACACCAGGTTTGATTCCTGGCCACCAGGCCAGCTTTCCACTGGAGAAGGCCATCTGCCTCTGGTAGGCCACCGGTCTGTGCCACAGATAACTGGATATTGGCTTGATGAGTTTGAAGAGTTTTGGTCTGAGAAGCTCTTTTTGAACGTGAGTCTGACAGACTCATACTTGCAGCAACTTTTACTCCAAAGCCACTGTAGCTGCCCCTTATGTAAATTTCCAAGGCCTCTGATGCCTGTTGCTTGACATCATCTAGCTGGTCCTTCTGGAAGCCCTCTGCAATTGCCTTCCACCAGTAGATTCCTCCCAGATGAAGAGGGCCTTGGTTAGCATGAGAACCAAACTTGTGGAAGAAATTTTCAGTCCTTTGCTTCAGCAAGGGAGATGCAGTATGCTCCAGGAGGTGTTCAATGCATTTCAGTTCCTGGAGAGCAGCCTTGGAGAACTGGAGTTGATCAGTGGGAAAGTGGCAGCAGGCCAGGGGAATGTAGCTGAACTTGGTTGAGCAAAAATAAGAGTGGTCAGAATGTGATTGATGTGTTTCCCTGGAGTCTGAATATTTGCTTTTATCTGTGCCACCTTCTAACCTAAATCCCCATCCTTTACCCTTGGCTGAGGCAGTTACACTGAAGCCCAGCTTCTCTATAGTCTGGGTGAACATGGATTCTGCTTGAGAAGATGTAAATTCTTTTGTTTCCATCCGTGTGCTCTGCTGAGGGCCAAAGAGTGAGAACTCCTTGGAGACCCCGAGTAGCTCTTCTCTCTTCTGTACCAGGTCCCTTTCTTGGCCAGTTTGATAAATTCCCTGCAGGGCAAGGCCTCCAGATGCCCATCTTACCAGATCTCTCTCCGAAAGATTTTGCCTGTGGGACAAGGTCTGTTCCATGAGATTGAGATGTTGCTGCACGATTTCCATGACTTGTGTTAGGGGCTTTTCAGGCAGTGGCCAGTATTCTTCAGGGATCTCCATTGCTTGCCTCAGCTCTGCTTCTTTCCTCCTCACTGCCTCTTCCTCCCTCTGCCTTCCTTCTAAAAGCAGGTCCTTTAGCTCCTGCAATGCCTGTTCTGCCTGCTTCTGCCTTTTGTTTGCCATCTCCACTGGTGACTCCTGTGACTCTGGATGACTATTTGAGTGTGAGAAGTCAAACAGCTTCTCCAGGGCCCTTTTTTCCCACGAATACTGCACCTGGGATTTCAGGACCTGCAGGTCTTTTTCTTTTAAGTATTGTAAGGCCTGAGCACAGGTGACACCCAGGTGTTCTTGCAGTTTGGGCAGCCAAAACTCAGTGTCCAGTCCCACATTTTCCAGAATCTCTTGGAGATCTTGCTTCCCTTTGTCTCTGAGCAGCGGCTCATCAGTGTTGTAGTCTGCAGTTGCCATGGCTGTGTGAGAAACAGACACCCAGTTACCTTTACTGTTTTCTGACCTTAGAAAGTCTCAGCCAGACCATTATATATCCTCCCTTACATTTTCTAATGTCTTCTTTTACAAATTTTTCTCTGTGTGTGTATATGGTGTGTGCAAAAGACACCATTGTGTGTATTTTCCACATGGATTACTTTTTGGTACTTGGTGAGTTGGAACTTAGTACCCTGATTTTTGTACCTGATCTTAAATCAATTCCATGAAAAATCATTAAATTATGGGATGGAATTTGAAAATGCAAATGAGTTTTCCCGCTTTTATTTTATTAATTTTACTGCTGCATTTCAGGTATACAATAGGATGACATTCATCATTGGGAATTTGCACCTTTATATGATATATCTTGGTTTTTATTCTTTTCCCCATTCCCCTCAGCTGCCTTCCACTCCTCCACCCCTCCCTATTTACAGAGACTTTGTCTCCATTTTTTCCTTTTCTCATATTTATTTCTTTCCCATACCCCTCCAATTTCCCCTCCCCCTTTAGATGTTTTCTTCCTATTTTGCATCATCTATTATACATTTTGATCATTATTTTCATTTTCAGTTTCTCCCACCAGAGAAACTTTTTGGTATGAACACATGTGTGTCCTATTTATTTCACTTAAGAATGTGGTCTCAATGTGCATCCATTTAGCTATAAATGTCTCTAGTTTCTCATTCTTTATGGCTGAGTTGTACTCCATTTTATAAAAAAACCCCACATCTTCTTTATCCAGTTTCTTTATGGGTAATTGGGCTGTTTCCAAGTTTTAGCTATTACAAACCGTGCCGCTATAAACATGGGTGTGTATATATCATTTCTCTCTGTTATCCTATTTAGTAGTACATATTTGCCCAACATATAATTATATTCACCATGGGGAGTTGATACATGTGCATGACACATCTTAATGATTTTTACTTCCCCTTCCCTTCCACCTCTTACCTATTTTTCAGTTTTCTTAGGTCATTTAATATTCATCTTCTCCTACCAGTTTTCCCTTAGTTTTGGTTTTCCCATGTCTTTAGTAGATTTCTATTATAGGCATCCCATCTGCAATGGCTTGACTCTTTCTTTCCTGTAAAACTCACATTGTAATGCAACTCCCATTGTAATGCAACTCCCATATGACAGTATTGAGGGTTGGAATATTTCAGAGATGATTAAGACATTTTTTTCACTCCACTCCTAGTTTGCATGGAGTTTTCATCATGACTGAGTGTTACATTTTGTCAAATGTCTTTTATGTATATGTTGATATAATCATAAGATATTTCTTCTTAATGTTTTTTATTGTTAATGTATCTTTCTGATACATAGTAATTACATTCGTCTTGGGGAGCTAGTACATATGCATACTTCATCATGATGATTTTTACTTCCTCTCCCCCATCTCCTGTTTCCCCTTCCTCAGGTACAATTATTTCAATAACTGCTACAAAACCCCGGAGACAATGTTGTTAATACAAATGTTGTTATAAAGAGCACATAACAATATGATTTCTCTCAACCTAGTGTCCAGAGGTAGCTGGAACTCCATGTGAAGATGGATCAAAAGAGCATCTGTCAAATTTCACAGGTAACTTGCTTTCCAGATCTGTTCCTCCATGGTTTGCCTGTCACAGTGAACCTATTTCAGTATTTTTTTCTCATGCTCCAAATACTTACCTTTTACTTATTTTCCTTTAATATCTCAAAATCTGTCATCAGACTGTCACGATATTTCATCCAAATTTAACAGCTAGTCTAGTAACAGATAATGTGTAGTATAAAAAACAAGTTAAAACAGCAGTCACATTAACTTTAATGAGATAAGTGTCCCCAGGCTTCACCCTTTCACTGAATGGATAAACAAATAAAAATTTTCTGAATCATCTCTGTTGGAGCTCTGGAAAGTAGTCAACAATTTCTAATAATCAACTGAATTGTGGATCAAGAAAAACACAACTTACAAAAAAAAAAGTATAACACATTTTTGGGCCAGGGATTTAGCTCAGTGGTTCTGTCGCCTGCCTCGTAAGTGCAAGGACCCAGTACCAAAAAAAAAAAAAAAGAAAGAAAAAAAAGCCCAGGCCCTGACAGATTCACTGCTGAATTCTACAAGAAATGCATTTAAGACCAGAGAATCCTTACGTATTTATTTACTTAGAACTAAAGGTTTATATAATAAATTCAATATAATTGTTAAATATGTAAAC